TAATTATTTAATTAAACATAATACTTAATTACCAAAATTATTCCGAACGTAAACGGTACGTCGAAAATAAATTTCGGTAATCTCAACTGAAAATAATTAATTCCGAAAATAGTAAACGATAACGTTAATATATCGGAACTAAAACGTAGTTTATACTAATAAAATGTTGGGATATTACAACAAGTCTGAAAGAGCTCAAATTGCTGCCTACTACTTAGATGGTGAAGCCAACACTTGGTGGCAGTGGGTGTCACATGTTTACAAGAACAAGGGCGAACAAATCAAATGGAGAGATTTTGAGAAGGATCTGATTACCTGGTTCGGATCTAGTGATTATTTCGATTATGCTGAGGCTCTGACAAGGGTTCGCCAAGCTGGTAGTCTACGCGACTATCAAAAGGATTTTGAAAGGATTGCAAGCCAGGTACGTGATTGGCCCTAGAGTGCACTTGTTAGTGCGTTTTTTGGAGGTTTAAAAGCTGAGTTAGCTGCGGAGGTACGTTTGGATAGGCCAAGGTCAACAAGGGCTACGATGGAGGCCGCACAGTTGCATGAAGACCACTTAGCGGCCGTGCTCAAGGCAACACAGGGCGACATCCGCATGGAACCGAGACGTGCGAGCGCAGTAACCGACGAGGCGCCCCCACGGGTCGAGACCAAATTGGCAGTCAGCGAAGGTACACGCACCACGAGCAGCGTACAGTGACTTACAGACGAAGAGATGCAGCGGCGAAGAGAAAAGGGCCTGTGCTATACATGCAACGAGAAATTTATGCCAGGCCACGAGTGCAAAGGTAAAGAAGTCTTTCTGTTAGAATTTGAGGAGGAATGTGAGGAAGAAAAGCCACAAGAGGAGTCCTTGTTACATGTGTTTAAGTGCAAGAAGCATGGTCCTATGATGATCAGGTTTACGGCTGAAATAAAAGATACGCTGCTAGAGGTACTGGCGGATAGTGGGTCGAGTTTGAATTTTATCAACGAAAGAATAGCCAGGAGACTGAAGACGGAACCCACCAAGGTCAAGAGGTTTGGGGTCAAGGTGGCCAATGGGCTCGAGCTACAAGGTAATCAACTGTTCAAGAAAGTTCCAATTATGGCCCAGGATCAAGAATTGGAGATTGACCTCTGCGCCTTACCGCTTAAGGCAACTGATATCGTGTTGGGAGTATAGTGGCTCAAAACACTTGGGCCCATTACAACCGACTATAAGCGAGGAAAGATGGAGTTTGGAAGGCCAGAGAATTACATTAAGTTGAGAACTGAAGATCAATGTGATTCCCCCATTGAAGAAGATGATAGTGATGTGGATGTACTGAACAATCTTATCCTTGAGGGCAAGGAATGTCTTGAAGAGGAGGGGAATGATAAGGAAGCAGTCATCGAAGCCGAAGGTTGGCCGGGCATGACCGATGGGCGAATAGGCAAAAGGCCTGCATCAGGCTGTGATGCGCGAGAGTTGGGCGTACACGGGCGCGTTGGGGCACTGGATGAGCGCAACATGTGCGAACGTGGCTGGGACGCGCTGGCGATAGGAAGCAAAGACGCGGGGCACGGGTGGCGCACAGGTGAGCAGCACGCGATCGGAGTCCTCGACCGCATAGATAATCCAGGCACGCGACAGCACGCGCGCGAGGAGATCGGCTGGCAGGGAGCGCACGGACTAGCGCGCGAGTGCGACACAAGCGCGGACTTCCTAAGTCGCGCGGGCATAGGGGAGGCTGGCGCACACGCGCGAGAGGAAGGCGGTAGATGCTGGGGGCGCGAGACCACGGGCGCGTACAGAATGAAGTGTTTGGGCGAACAACTTGGTGTGCCGAAGTATTTGGGGCAAAAAACATGGTGTGCAAGCCAAGCAACTTGGAGTTCAAGACTAGTTAATTAGGATTCTATTTCCATATTGCATTAGTAGATCTAGATTGTTTAGGATTTTAATATTTTATTGCTTTAATTAAGTTCCCTAGTAAGATTAGACTTAGTCATAGTTAGGATCTATGAATAGAGGTCATCCCTCATTGTTTTGAATTTCTTGGAATTGATAAATGAATAGAAATGAACGTTTGTTCAAGCCGTGTGTTTGGATTCGTGAGAGTTCGATCATGCAATCGAATTAGTGAGGCTAAGACCCGAGCTAGTTCAAAATTGAGGGAGCTACGCTAATTACCGAGTGAACTCAAGTATCATAAGAGAGCTAGGCTAATAACTGAGTCGATCACACCTATCAGTTGAGGGAGAGTTGTGGCGAGGCTTGGTTCGAGGCGAGTCGAGTGGAACAAAACACACGATCCTTCATCACGCACGCATGCGGAGCAGGCGCGGGAGTCCTAAACCGTGAAGGACTAGGCGAGACGTACGGGCAGGCGTCGTGTAAGGCGCGCGTGCATGATACGGAAGTGGTCATCAACCCCAGAGAGTCGAGCGATGGAATGGTCGAAGATCTCGACATGTGGTTGGAGAACATGCTCAAGGAGCCTTCAAGCCCAATTTATCGACCTTCGTGCGAGAGAGATTGGCTAAAAGGTTGTGGTCCACGGACTACGGCTAAGAAATGCAAGGCCAAAAGGCGACGCAAAGAAAAGGCGCAAAAGCCAAAACATTGTTGTGGGTCGTGTGCGAGGAAGAAACGGGCATGGCGTTCAGAGGTTCGAATGCGTGGTAGGCAAAGGATGGAAGATGGTTGGATATGGCGTGCTGGAGATTGTGTTGGGTTGGAAGGTTGGGACCCATGGGAGAAGCCAGGACCCTCGGGCGAGAGTTCCGAGGCGATCGACAAGAACAAGGTCGAAGGAGCACGGCTAATGGGCGAGTGGCGCGCATCGGGCGATGATGCGCACGAATATGTGATCGGCACGCGGGCAGCGGTGGGTGTACGCGGGTGCACGACAGGTGAGTAGGCCACGGGAGTTGACTGGGACGCGCTGGCGTTTGGCGGTGAAGCAGCGGGGCGCGGTGATGAAGATCGTGTGTTTAAATTACCGATAAGCCACAAACCAGTGCTTTGAATCGCCGATAGTTGCCTAGAGGTTCACAAACCACACCCCTCTAAACGAATAAAATTGCAATAGAAATCTAGAAGAAATCTAAGACAAAGTGTTTGAACAAAAGTTCAGATTTTTATTGATAAATTTCATGATTGAAAATAACATAGGGAAAGGGCCTTTATATAGGCACAAAATATATCTAGTCCTAATCTACCTAGGGAATTATTAAAGCAATAAAATATTAGAAATCCTAATTAAGCTAGAAA